CCCATTCGTGCTGATGCATTGGCTTCTCTTTTGCTAAAGGAATAAAAGCTATTTAAAAAGTTTCACCGTGCTGGTCCCCTTGCTGTGTGCACAYGAGCGGAGAAGTTAGGAAGAGCATCCCGTAAATCCCTTTTCCCCTTGAGGCTGGAGAACGCTTCTCCCAACCCATGTGTTTCTCCAGCTTCACGTGGGCTCCCCCACAGTGCTGCTGTCCCCAGATGCCACTCTTTTTTTGAGTGAGTTTTGCTCACTCCCATCACATCCCCATTCTGGTTTCCCTTGGCTGCTGTGGATGAACAACCCTAAACCACAAACACCAGCGCCACGCACCGCCTCACAAGCCACCTTCTTTTTTGGTTTTTTTTTTTTTTTTTTTCCAGAAGGGAATTGCTTCTATTTTCATTGTTCCCAGGGTGATGTCCCAGCTGGAGGAACTGGTGGCCTTTAAGAGCAGATAGCAGAAGCTGAGATACAATTAAAATTGCAAACTAACCTCATTATTATTATTTTTCCCCTATTATTATTGTATTTTTTCCCCTCTTCCCTCTAGCTCAGGTGACAGAGCACGATCGCCCTCTGACACGCTTGGTTGCTTAGTAGCAGACAGCCTCATTTTTAATTATATATTAAAATATGCTAAAGAACATAAAACGGTGGTATGACTAATACATGTGTATCAAGAAAGGCGTGTGACAGCACCTAAATTGCCTCAGTGTCTGATAAAGATGCCTCTGCCAGGCTTGTCATCAGCAGATCAAGAGAAGTATTATTAACAAAACAGTGACTTTTTAAAATACACCTCATTGTTTGCAGTGCGTTTTTTGTTAAAGACGTCTAGCGTGAGTTTCATTCTTTTCCATTTATTCAGCTTTAATTCCTGCTTTTCAAAGGGAGCTATTAGCATCAAGCTGCAACTCCCTGCTTATTTCCTTATTACCTCCAATGAAGTATCACTCCAAGGAGAAAACTGGAAAGCGGTGCGGGATCCAGCGGTGCTCTCTGCAGCGCAGGTTCTTCATGGATTTGTCCAAGCAAAACCACTATGCAAAAAGAAAAGCGATGCGAAAAGGTTTTACGATTTGCGTGTTTTGAAGTTGCTTCTTTTGCAAATCTGCAAACTGCCTTCCAGTTGCCTTTAGGGTAGAAAACAGGGAAGAAAAGAAAAGAAAGAGAAAGACAAAATTAAAAAAAAAAAAAAAGGATTACAGGTCCTTCTATATTTTAGTGACAATGTACCTAAGCAGTTATAATTTGTGTCCAGCCAATAGCAGCTTTCAATATACTTACATTGCATGAGAACAATTCTGCCTGGATATATTTAAAGCATCTAACCAAATTTCACCGAATGCGARAGCAATTTTGCTGTTCCGTATATTATGCAACACGTGCTGAACTGTTCCCTGCCTGCCGGGAGCCCTTCCCAGTGACAGAAATTACAGGCTGTCCCCCAATCCCCCCTGCAAATTGCAGCATTAAATCACAGTGCACGAGAGCAGCACCAAGAGCCCCAGCGCTTCCCAGGCACGTGGAAAAGRAAAAAGGTAACAAGAACTGCCACGGCTTCTTCTCCAAAACAGACTGGAGAATTTCTTACAGCTTTCAAGCTCATGTTTCATTTTTCTTCCTGTTTTTCACCCAGTTTTATAATCAAGAAGCAGAGAAGAGCCATTCCTGTGGGTTCTCAAGAAAGAGAACCTTGACGCTGCACTAAAATGCCACGTTCTAGCACTGATTTGGATTTCTCAAGTAAGAAATAGCGCTACACAGTGACTGCCAAAGTCTCTAGACTGCTCATCTACCAGGTATTGAATATCTTCTGTACAGGGATGCAAGTCTTTTCTACTACATTCATGGCAAAGTATCTTCACTCAGAACTACTGTCTTTTAAATGGAGGTTTTTGTTTTTTCTTCTCCAAATGTACAGAAGGACAGCTATTGCTTTTCAATTGCAGGCTTTCCCTCCCTTTAGTTTCCTTTTTTAATTACTTAAATTATTAATTTTCTGCTCCTAGCAAAATCAGATTTTTAAAAGACCCAAGGCAATCCCAAAGAACACAAGTCAATCAAACCTTAGTTGCCATTGAAGATGTACAGGATGCATTAAGGTCCTGCAGTAGCACCCGTTCCCCAGCCCTGCTGGTGCAGCAACGTCCATGGACGAGGTGACGACTCCACGGCACGTGAGGACACCATGAACACTCCAAGGAACAAGACTGCAATGGGTAATGACAACAAAGCAGCAAAGAAATACACAGGTGTGAAGACAAAACAGGTCTCCAAGCAGATCAGAACTGTTTGCATGTTCGGAAATAAGGTTTGGGCTGTTGGATGGATGGTGACCTTGTAGGACGACAGGTTCCCCACGTTGACAGAGGGCAACCAGAGCCATGGGAACAACTAAGGTCTTGGACTTTTACTCCAGATCAGGGACACGGACAGGGCCACCAGTAAGGCACAAACACAGCAGCGCTGCCAGGACCTCAGGGACACACACACACACACACCACCGAGAGTCACTTACACTGAAAACGAGTGGCTGACACACACATATGTGAAAAACCAAATGCTTTAATCCATCTATCAAGAACAACAGTTCAAATTATTTCATTGGATACATTAATATTGATCCATAATTTACAGTGCTATGGACCATACACAAATTATTGCTGCAGTCAACAGCAGATGAATATCAACATTACAGTACCAAGCATCATAGCAAGAGGCAGTAATTAATGTCACTTTTTCAAGAAATATAGGTATTTATACCATTATCAACATCAGCTTCCCCCCCAGTGCATTTTATGTCAAACAACATAAGCGTAAGTGCATTATTTTGTGCTTTGTGCTTTCCTTGTGTACCTTCTTTTTGCTTTTGCAGGTTGTAAAGTTTCATATTGCTCTGTAGGCCAAAAGCAGGAAGGAAGAACTTCATGGTACTCTGCACGTTCACGTTTGTCGAGTGGTTTTGGCAAAAGTGAGAGTTATTCAATATTCTACCTAGCCCGGATCCAGCCCAGTGTCAGGCAATGGACCCTGTCATCCAAGAGACGCTGTGGGCAATGCTTAGGTCTTCCTCACCTCATCTTGTGGGAGCTGGTCCCTGTCCCAAACTGGTGTCCTGTCCATTGCTGCCACCCCATATAACCACCATGATACACAAGAACTACGCGTATCTCCAGGGAGGTACCATCCACCACACCAGAACATCTCCTGGCAGAACAGCAGCCAACTTGAGGAAGAGCTGTGACTTGCCAAAAACATGGGATGAGATAGCAAAGAAGCCACAGACGCACTATGGGTCACCTTAGCCCAACTCAACCCACCAGGCAGTGTTGCAGGACCATGACACATAGCTGCTGTTGGACACCAAGCAGCCCAGCTCTTGATACATTATTTTTCTTGCATGCTCAACCACCTCTGCTCAGCAAATAGCCAAAAATCAGAAGCCACAGCTACCAGCAAGTACCAGTAGATTCACATAAGCTCAAGAAACATTCACAGTCCAGACTTAGCTCTTGCACAGACAGCACAGACATCACACCCCAACCCTCAGTCAGTGGTTTCCAGTGCAGGTGTGCGCATCCTGATCCCGCTGTGCCACACTGTAGAGCTCACCTCTCCAATGGGAAGTGTGACACCACCCACACTCAGCTACCAGCACTTTCCAGCCCTACCCATCTCTGCCCATCACCATTAAGATGCACTGGAGATGCATCTTTGCCAGGGAAAGAAGCAGAAAATACCTGCCTGTCCCAGGCATGGCACCAGACCATGTGCATCCCAAGGCTCACCCATCCTGTCCCAATCCCATCTCACCTAGTGGASATGCATTCCCAAAGGCTGCCTGGCACAGGTGTGGGGAGAGACATCATCATGAACAAACTCCTGCTCTTCCTTCCTTCTCTCAGAAAAAGAAAAGTAAAAACCCAGCGATTGCACCAAGTGCATCAATGCCACCGCATGACTCCAGCGGATGCCACAACCACAGAGCACCATCACAGGGGCACTGAAACACGACCGACCTCCCAAGGCCACCGCAACCTGCTCGGGAAGGATCCCAGCTGCCCCAATCCCTACCAATTCACACTGCGTTTCCAAACACTGTAACCATCACGACCAAGTCTCCTTACATAAAGCCTGCCAAAGCCGGCACTCAAGGCCCTACCTGTTTTTTGATTTGTTTTTAACGTTATTATTACACATAACTTCCAGTGTAGCACACAGGAGAACGGGAAGCTCTTGTTTTCTCTACGTAGGCACCATGCCACACTTCAGTTTCCTAGAAAAGGTCACCCGAAAGCTTTCTCCTACGCCACACTTCAGTCAGTGCTAGTCCAGGAAGACTACAGCTAGAGATAAGGCACTTCATTCTGAACGAGATACACTTGCCTGCCACTTGCAAGTCAACTGGAGGCTGCTATTGAGAAATCCATTCAATCCGTCTAGCTTGGAACAYCGTACGTCACCTCTGTAAAACACCTAGGCTCGATATAAYACAAGTAAAACTACTGTTATTGCATAGGACTACACTTGAGTAGATAATGCACCAAACTACTTTTACAACATTGTTGCATGTTGAAAATTAATAACATTGTTATCAAGTAACAGTTATCTGCAGATACAGTAATTTACTCTTTTTTTTCTTTTTTTCTTTTTTTTTTTTCTCTCTTTTTTAATATCAGCCCCAGTGCTGAAATAAAACACAAATTACTATAACGGGTAGATTAACTACATATTTATGTTTCCAAGCATATTACTACTTTTTCTGGATCACTAAAAATAAATATGTAAGTTCAGTTTTTCTACAGAGCTGTTTTGTTTATTACCTAATCTAAATTTGTACTCTAAGTGTGTTTAAAAACATTTCCAAAGTGAGACTGTAATATACAAAATATTCTTAAAATCTCTCTTAAAACACAGAACCCTGCATAAAAGCTTCCTTTCAAGTGTTTACAAAGAACGCAGAAAACTTCCAATGAGTTTTTAAGATGTCAAAAAACTGTTGCAATATTAAGAGGCAAATTCTTACAAATGAAATACAAATATATTTAAAACAAAACGTTGAGAATAACTAAGGAATTCATGCAAATCAAAATAAACTGTACAATGCAATTTAAAAAAAGTAAAGCCAATTAGATATGTACAATGTGCCCAGTTGATAAATGTATCATTTTTGTCCAAAAAGTACATACCAATTTACAGTATTCCTTCTTCATTCACTGGCAAACCATCATTGTATGTTACAAAACAAAAATCTAAAAGAAAAAGCCTTGAATCATGATCCAAAGGAAACCCAAATCAGCTCAGAGTAAAATTAAATGGCACTCCGAGGAAGAGACTCACATCTCCCTGCAATTTCTACTTCCTTCTCAGCAATAGCATCAAGAACATTTTATATCAGAATCAACAACCTGGGTGTTTCAATACTTTTTTTTTTTTGTCTGTATTCTCAGTGGAATAGTATTTTTTTCTTTAAACACTTGTGAGAACAACAAAAGGTTTAGGGACACTGTATCTTTAAGGCAGCACTATTAAATCAACACAATTACAAAGTGGACTCTTTTTGTTTTGGTTTCTTTACATTCTTTAACTTTACATTTTGTTTCCAAGGAAATCGGTTGCACAGAATTTACAATTCTGCTACGCTTCATCCCYGCCTGAGTAGAAACAGACTTTTCAGATGTAATTCTATTGCTTTAAGTAGATTTGACCAGTTCAAAGTTCTTGGCGAATCCAGTTCACGGATACTGTACATACACTGTACAATATTTTGGAGGCATTGGTAGATTTAAAATAGAATATACAAGCTTTCTTTTTTCTTCCACAAAAAAAAAAAATCTAAAAAACCTCTCTATATAATATATACACACACGCACACACACTAGGCTAGTCATGAAGCACAAGGGAAAAAAAATCAAAAAAATCTACAAAAGGTAAATTTAATCTACTGATCAAGAAATGAAGCAGTTTATGAAAGGCCGTGCCAAATATCTGCTAACAGGGGTGATCGGTGTCCTCCATGCTCACGCTGCTCCGCCTGCTACTCGTCTTGGATGCTCCAGGAGACACCGAGGAAAGCAGTGGATCAGTCACCCCAACGGGGGAGAGGGTATCGTCCATCAAGATATCTTCCAGTTTGGATCCCATTTTTGGGGGGACACCATAAGTGCCGGTCKGTTCAGTCACGTTTCCCAGGTTGTCGCTGAAGGTGATGGTGCCGTCGGTGAGATCCAGCGTGGTGGTGCACGACAGGTCRGCGTGGTGCTGCAGGAGGTCTTGGTTGCAGTTGTCCAGGACRGGCTCTTGCTTGATGACCCGGTTCACCATATCGGGGGAGCAGAGCCCTGTCGACGGCACGAGGGAGAGGCCGTGGGCCCGTGCCTGCATCTCGAGTTCCTGCCGAGGAGGACAAGAGGTTATTGAAGGAAGCATGAATGCAAAATCTCATCTCATGCTGCTCACTGTGACTATGGCAAAAGGAAAAAGTTACTAGAAATATGAAGGCACAATGCCTACATGATGCTAACTGCTTCCTACTGAGGCAGGGGAAAGGACACATCCCACGCTAGAGCTCTGCTAAAAACACAGTTTGTTTCAAGCAGAAGACAACTCCGCTCCTGCACTAAAGAGATTCACCCAGAAACACAGAACTTGCAGGACAGCTTTGGGCTGACCATGCAGATTCTGCATGGTAAGTTTAAATCCCACCTTCAAGTGTAGTCATGTTACAGATGCATTTGACTGAAGGCAGGTAATAGATGACCTTATTGAAGGGCCCTTTTCCAAATACAGCCCTATGATAGATGCTTCGATTCTACTTATGCATTAAATTAGGCAATCACAACACTGTTGTGAGTTCCTGAATATTCTTATCACAGAGCTTGATTAGAAACCCTTTCTCCATTTTCAAACCAAGACAACAAGCTTTCAAGGGCACATGGCACACGTCAGAATCACATTAGTCCCCCCTATTCTGTACTTAATCAGAATAAACACAAAAAAAAGGAAAATATAGACTTTGGCTTATCTGCTCCCAGATGTAGTGCCCATTATACAAAGATATGGGTTTTACGGTATGAATAATATAGGAGCTAGAGAAGATGAGTAGGGCAAAAAACGATGAGACGCTTCAGAAGGGATCTGACCTAACTTYGAAACAGTGCAGCTTGCTGCTGCTCTCTCCACATTCCAGAACACATTCCAAACTTTCAGGCTATTCTGCCACAGTTAGCTATGTTATTTCTAGCTCCATAAGGGGCACCAACATAAAGGTGCCCAGGATCTGCAATCTGCTCCATTACAGCTTTTGTTGCATATGGTTTTGCACTTGCATGAAGGTCCTACGTACCCTTCTTGCATCGCTTTTATAGAAGTGTGGGTATCCAGCTTGTGTTTGCCTTTGTGGATAACAGAGTTGAAAGTCAAGGCAGTTTAGGCTGCTGGGCTGGATTAGGCGTCCTATACAGTTCGGAGTGGGAGAACTCACTCTAACAAATTTGACCCTACAACCTTACAAACCCTACAGACTTCACCCTATAACAGGGAATAGATGGCAAGGGCAACCCTCGCTCTGCAGAGAGCAGAACTGCTGCCACAGCTCTTAGAGCTCTTGCATTCAGCAGGCTTCTGATTAAAATAGAGTCCAAATTYGTGGCAATACCCAGAGAAAAGTTTTACCATATATATTTATTTACTACACAGTATAGTTTGCAAAACCATGTTGCTATAAGAAGGACAGAACACATCAGCTCCAGGCGCTTTGCTAGAATGCTGTGGGGTCTTTTTTTAAACCAGCGTATCTTCTATTTTTCTGAAGAGCTCTGCACACATCTCGGCACTGGTCACCATGAATTAAAACAGAGGTTTCCCTCTAACACTCATTCCTACAAGGATGATCCGGTCACGATTTCACACCGTGATTCCACGACCTTCGCAGCTTCCCTACGGGCAAACCTGTATCCGGAGCAGCAGGTGCCTGTTGGCGTGTTCCAACTTCTTCTGCCTGTTCTCAAGTTCCTTGGTGCGCTGCTGTTCTCTCTGCAGCTTGCGGATGTAGTCAACTGAGGCTTTTAAAATAGTTCCCTTATTCCAGCGCATATCCCTGAGCAATCAGCACAAAAGAAGTAGTCAGGGCTCTCAGGGAGGGTTTGCTTTAGAGTCACCACCACCACACCAGCAGCTGCARTTACACCTCCTGTTATCTAACACATGCATAAGTTTTTTTTCTTTTTTTTTAAGGCTTTTGAGATGCGCTAGAGGGGGCCAGAGCACAGGCTAAAAGGGAGGATGCAGCGAGCGACGTCCCAGCCACACGGCACAGCGGCAGCCTCCTGGTGCCCTCCAAGGCTTCTCAAACATCAAAGTTAGCTCCTCATTTCTGCTGGGTGATTAAAAGACTGCAAGGGAACTGGCATCATATGTGACCCGATATTTTGGCAGGGAAAAAGTCCCAAAATTCTTCAGCTCCCAGGAATTACTAAGCAATAACCTCCTGGTGGCACTGTGTCACAGCTTGGTGACAATAAGGAGGGGAAAGCCAAATCCAGCACCATATTCCAGCATTTTAGACTTCTCTAYGCACACACAGACTTTTTAAAACTATATACACACACACACTTAAAGAACTTCTACTGGATGAAAAATTCAGCTGTCCTGCAGTTTGGTCAAGGGCAATACTGCCTTAGAGAAAGCCAAAGARTCCCCAAAGAGCTTTAAAAATGAAAAATAAACTCCAGAACAATTTTCACAAAACTCTATATAAAGTCTTCAAGTCTTTCTACAAAGTTTTAAAATGCTAAAAAACTCAAAAGTGTTTTAATCTCTTTAGTAAGGTTTTTTGTTTGTTCTCTCTTTTAAAAACCTCATGTCCACAGTCTGCTTTGACACATTATACTTACGGGTCATTTGACTTGGGTATCAAAGTGCCTAGTTCTTTTATACGATCATTGATATTAAATCTTCGTCTCCGTTCAACTGTAAGAAAAAAAATCAAACACAAATGTTACAAGCAATGTACACATTTGTAAATTATTCAGCTCCTTTTTCCTACTAATATAAAGGAACCTTAAAAATGCCCTTTTCTATTTTAAGTCAGAAAACATTCATCACTAGTGTTTGTTACCTAGCTAAGTTGTTTCTTAAAAAGATGAAGKTTATATTCCTATAAGTTGTCACACTGTAGGTGTATGATGGCATTTAAAGCAAGTCACAGGATGCAAAACTCCTATTTTAGATTTTTTTAAGGAAAATTGTGAGCTGGTTAAACTCGATCAAATATTTCCATCAGTAATTCTATGGACACAATGCCTAGGAACGTGGACTATATTCCAACAAGCCCCAAGGAAGAGAACATTTGCTTTCATTAGACTACTTGTTTACTTTGTTTTTTGGGAAAAAATAAAGATCAATACCAGATTTTAGCCCCCAGTTCAGGAGAACAGGAGATATTTGATCTCTTAGCATAACAGAATGAGCTAGTACAATACATTAAATGCAACGTCTCATCCAGAAATTTAACACATTAGCTTTCCAACACATACAAAACACTTAAAAATACTAAAATTGGAGAAAGAGAAGAATCAACTTACTCAAGTTGTGATTGTCTTTCTTTTGCCTCTCCTTAGCCAATGCCCTCGCTTCTGACTCTGTAGGAAAAATACATGCTGTGCATGTGAATTAAGTCATTAGAATTCAAGAAATTCAAACGTAATATTTTCAGTTTGCAAAACTTTTGTGCAGGTAGTCTGATGAGGCTCGTCACACCTAAGTTACTAAAATAATTGCAAATAAGTCACTAAACCATGGCAAAAAAGAAAAGGTGCCTCCAACGTACACTGAGCTCAGCAAAACACAAWGCTGGGGCTCAGCTCTAGCATCTCTTATCTGCAAAGCGACTGTTCCCACGCTTCCTATATTGATTTTTGTGCCTAGAAGGTTCCTCATCAGGGCCCTGACTCAGCAAGGTACAGACCACTGAAACATTCCCTCTCCTGTGCGTATGTATGGACGTTCCTGGTGGAAGCCGAACCTGAGGAGCAACATGCCTATTGCATGGCTACCTGCACAGGATATGAAGCAGGCAGGAGTCAGGTTCAGCTCCCTGGAATTCAGGCTACATCATTCTGTGGCAACTTATCCAGATCACCACAAAATTCAAGGCGTACCTTAAGCGCTGTGTTTAAAAAAAAAAGCTGCTTTTCCCAGCTATACCAATCATTCATTATATGGAAAGAAAATTCTGCATGTTTTTATATATCTTTTAAGTTTTGGAAAAAGGTGGAGTGAAATCATTAATCCTGTTGTGTCTGAGTCTAAGCACCTGCAAGTGTCAGCTGCACAGCAAGTCAGTGGGGACACAGCAACCTGTGAGCCCCTAGCACCAGCTCCACCACAGAACCCACACTGCCTTCACTCCAACAAGTCTATACTACACTATCTACAGGGTCAAAAGAGCTTGAAAAATTACTGTAATTCCAAACAAGATGTGGGTTCAAATCTGACYTTGCATTATGCAACAGATAGGAAGTCTGCAATGCCCAAATCAACAGAAACTGCACTCACAGGTGAGCAGGATTCCACCAAACACTTCAGTGGCAACAGCTGACAGCTCACAACTGTCATTACAAGAAGCTGGGATAACAGATCTGATTTTTTTCTGATTCTTGATCATTTTGATATCTATGCAGCAGGATGGGGACAGGCTTGTGACAGATCAGTGCTAGATTTAAATACAGCAAGCTCTCTCCAGCCCAGCTCCAACAGAAGAATTGGGACCTACAAGACCAGAAGCTCTTCTGCACTTGCATATGTAGAGATCAGACCTCAGCCCCTTAACAAAGTTTCTGTGACTGGTATAGAAAGCCTTTCCCAGCTAAACTTCTAACCATCTGCAATAACAACATGCCAGTATAAAATTGTTGGCTGTCAGAAAGTGCTACTTGCAGGATCCATGACCAAGCGACCAAGCAACTGCTGTCAAACAGAAGTTCCTAGACGGCATTAAATGCAGACTGCATTTGATGTAGCATAAATCTGCATCAATGCAGACACATAACTTAGTTCAGGCTAATTTGACTTACTGAGGACTTCTCTCCAAGACCACTTCACTAATTTCTTTGCCTAGAGTCATTCACGACCATCTGTTGTGACTGYGACAGCCTATACGTTGTACCAGCGGTATGTTTAGCTTGCAGTCTAGAGCAACCTGTAACATTTTGCAGTTGGGGCTATGAAACCATCTGCAATGCAAGACCTTGAGCAGTCACCTTCCCCTCCCACCCTCCTCTCAGTACAGTTCAAGATGCTGCTCCAGTTTTTCTAGCAGCATCTAGGTTTTTCTGCTCCAGTTGCAAGAAAAACTGGAGCAGCCACACTGGGCGGCTTGGGTGCTTGCATTTGCCACTGAACTCAAATTTTGCAGAGTCATATAAAATGCAAATATGTGCCAACTTAGAGATGTGGCATTTCCTCTGAGAAGCAGACACCTCAGCTATTAAAAATAGTGCTCTACTTAAACTAATGCCTGCCMAGGACCTGTTTTGCAACTGAGTCAGCCTATGAGTTTTCATAACACAAATACAGAATGGAGAAGGATGAGAAAGAAAKAAAACAACCACCAGGCCTGCAAACAGTATGGTTCCCAGCTGGCCTTTAGAACAGTGATTCTGGATCTTGAGGTGTATTTAGCTATTGGTCCTAGAACCAAAGACATTTGCTTGTTCTACAGGCAAGCTTGCCTTTTTACTGTGTCCTACCTGTGGTCAGGCCCTTTCATGTAGAAATGATGCAAAACATAAAAAATAAAAAATACGTGAAAAAAATGAGTTTCCCTTATAGACTTCCAAATTATTTGAATTCTGTATGTGTGTGCTTGGGTGAGATGGAGGTGCTCTAGGGTTCTTTCTCTCTACTCACTGCCAAGAGCTTGTTTAGAGAGGGAAAAATTTCATTGCTGGAARAGAAATATGTTGAGACCTTTGGAGAACACTTCCTTTTCACCTTCATTTAAAGCAAACCTTATCCCTCTCTATTTGGGCTCACAACCAACTTGTCAGAACACACACACGTTCCCAAACTACAAGACTGCATTACAAGCTAATATACTTGCTATAAAACAGACTACAAATCAAAAATTAAGCTCTTCATCTAAATTTTCATTCCTCCTTAGAAACTAAGTCCAGTGTTTCCTTATTTCAAAACCATTACAGCATTATTCCAAGGTTGTATTTCAAACATATTTACCTGTGAGCTCCCTTTTTATGTTAGGAAGATTAGCTGGACACGAGTTGCTGATGTTTAGCCCTGGAGGGGGCATGCTCTGGTTGCCATAAAGGTCAATCAAATTGCCAGACACAGGCAACTGGAAAAGATAAACAAAGAAAAAAAGATCATTCACGTTGCCCCTTATGAAAGACTTTTGCAGAACAGAGTTAGCATTTGCTAGGAAATCTGTACTCTTTTCCACGTGCAAACAGAGCTTGCAATAAGGTCACCAAAAGCTACACATACGCATGGGGAAAAATATTTGCACCAGGAAAATTTCTGTCCTCGCTTCTCAAGAACGTGCAGACAGCATTTTAAATACACAACTCATGGTGAGAAATTCTCTAGAAAGATTTAAAGGTTTTTCTTTCTTTCTTTAGAAAGAGATAGCACAATGACAATAATTACAGTGCTAATCACGCCTTGTTTTTTCAATGAAAAGTTAACATGTGAATTCCTCCACTTTTCCTGCATGCACACATATACACACAAACCCTGAAATGGTCGCCAAAACATTCATCCTGTGATGAAGACCCCAATTTTTCAGAAATATTTAGCTGTGAGAGTGCTTAGCAAATCAGATGAAATAGAACACCGTATTAATCAAAGACATTTTATGTGACTTGTAAAATATTTTCCATATAAGCAGCTTTCAAGTTTCATATAACTTGGTTTTTGCTTTGTACAATACAAATACTCCATGAGGAAAATATTTTTGGTACTGTTTCCTCAAATAATTGCTTGTCCTGCTACTCTTACCTAGGCATGTTTAAGCAGAATTGCATAGAAACAAACATTTTCTAAACAAAACCAATATTTTTTTCCTTTAAATAAAGAAGTATTCAAAGAATGTTACACTTATCCCAAATGGATTATTTTACCTATCCTTTTTTTGTTTTCAAACTAAGTGTTGAGGTGACAGCTATAAAAACAGTTCATATCTTATCTGAGTAGCAATACAAAGATAAAACCTGTCCCTTCAAGACACAGATGCTGCAGAGATTAGAGGGAGCATTAGCTTTACACGCATGTAAATAACACTGCGGAATACAATGGGGTGACTCACGGCATGAACTGTTAAGTCCCTATGGACTCCCCTTGCTTGGCTGAGACCTGAGAAAACTTTTCTGCTAATACAGATGGGCACCCGTTCAAGCACCAGCATTTTGAAGCATTTTGAAGCTCAGACTTTTCAGGAGACTTCTCTTGTCTATAAGGTGGCTACCAGAAGAAATGAAGTCCTGGACAACTTCTGAGTGACAGGGAAGCATCACTGAGTCATCACCACGACCAAGCCCTCTGTGTACCTCCAGAATACAGCACAAAAAAAGGAACATCTATAACAAATCCTAGGTCCCCGTTGCCCTTTATAGACTGTGGGACCCAGGCTAATCTGTCCACACTAAGCTGTCCCAAGGACCACAGCCCYACAAAGGTGACCCTCGTATCTTCTGGCCCTCACCACAGCCCTGACAGACGCAGCACTCACGTCACGCACCCTTCTGACTTGGATGTGCTTTTTCTATTCATGCTCCCAAGCATGGCAAAAGGACAAAGGGCTTGTTTGTAGCCCAGGGACTTGAAGTTCAGAACCAGGCATGTGAAATCTAATTAGGAATTTCAGAAAGAAAAAGATTTTTTTAGAAGCCTAGAAACTAGTATCTCCAAGCTTGAGTGAAGTTGCTGGGTTATAATGAAACACTGGGAGGAGTCAAGGTGACACAGCTGCTTTRGTAAAGCCAAGACAGAAGCTGCTTGTTAAAAAGAGGTTTGATTTTATTGTGAAGGTGTTAACAGGGCCAGATTTGCGTGCAGGGAACCTGGACCTGTGTAAGCAGCCGCCAAAGGGGAAGGGGACACAGGCAGCAGCTGCTGACCGCGCACACTGAAGCCCTGCAGAAACCGCCAACACTTGGGAAACGAGCTGGTGTTTCCTCTGTGAGAGGACTTTACAGTACCTAGCAATTCAATTACCAAGTCATGCCCAAGTACAACACCYTCAGCAAACTAGCGATCATTCTGTGACATTTTTCACCCCAAAAGCAAAGCCGGTGAACTTGTGAGCCAATACCAAAGTTTACAAACAATTCCATAGCCGGTTTAGTACCATGAGCTCTTTTCAATTAAGAGGTACTTGGAAACCTCCCTTAGCTTGTTCCACACACAAGCCTCTGATTTCGCTTATTGTTGACGCAAGTAACAAACTGGCCCTTTTATGCTTTGTTGGTTAGGGCACAATTGCAGCCTTTGTTGCAGTCTCAGCACAGCTATTTATAGCTCGTTTCTCTTTAGACACTTCCTCTTGATTTCTTCCACCTCTATTTAGCTCAGTCTACACATATTTGTTATTTATTAGTGAAACAGTGTGTATTTTCAGAACCAAATTCTGTTCCAAAATAAAAACCATGTACTTCATCAGGTCCTCTTTTCTTTTTCTAAACCAATCAGCGAGGTTCCATCTACATCACTTCCAAAGAATTTCAGATTCATTCAGAGACCAAAACATACTTTCTGACCCTAGTAGCTTGAAGTATATCAGTAAGAAAATCTTAATTCTACTACTTCAGGTCCTTATTTCACCACATGTTATAGGCACTTTCTGAAAGCCTGATGAATCTAAATGAAAGGCATAACTCTGTTCTTAACTAAGGGACCTGTGCTGTCCATCTTTGCTGTTCAAGTTTAGAAACACTTGCATACTTAAAAAATGGACTTGCATCTCTTTGGGGCAAATAAGGACGGGATAAGGTCTGATTGGAAAGTTATATGCAGATGGGTAAAATTTCATAGAAAACAAAAGCCTGGCAGTTTATCCAAGGTTTGCTGTCCYGCAGCAAGTAGGACACAGATGTACTCTAATTATTGGCTACATCGACTCCTTGCACCACAAGAGCACAGAGTATCATTAAATGCTTTTCTGGACACAAAGGGCTGGGGTCCCTGTGGAAGGAAATAAGAGCACAAAAAAGAAAATCCCATATCATCTCATGTGGTTCCTCACGGAACAGTGCAGAAATGACTCTAGAAGAATCTCAACATTTAACAAGAACAGTAGCTATCTTTGAAGATTCCTATCATCTTTCTCAGGGGTTTTTAAATTTTCTCAGTTTCCAGGAGAAATGAGATTTTGGGGCCTTCTGGGACTGCAGAATTCACTCGCTTTGGCAGGAGCCTGCAGTTATTTCTCACTCTACTCAAAGGGCACTGTTCACGCAGGATGCTGCTGGGCCGTTTCCTGTGCAAGTCGGGATGCCTCCAAGAGGGCTGTGGGAATCTGCAGGAGCGCAAGACTAGGTTATATGACATCAGACAAGCACTGTAGACAAATGTAAGCCTACACCACAAGATCTATGCTATGTGGTGAGTGGTAAACTTTGGCAGTAGATTAAAAAAGAGCTAGGCGCCAGCACTGGCAGACATCTACTCAGCCAGATCTAAGAGCACTTAAGCCTCGGGCGAAAAAATTCACTGGAGCTACCCTCCACATAAGATCAAAATAAGATTATGCCAGAAGTACGATTATATTAATGCTCACAGCAATGTGAACCAGCAGACAAACAGCAACTCAAAGGCAACATGCACCTTCCCTTACTTGTTTGTTCTCACATATTCTTTTCTTCTACCACAGGCTTTATGTACCCTTCTCTCTCTCTCTCTCTCTTTTTTTTTTTTTTTTTTTAGGTCAACCACCTTCTTTCTTTCTTCTTTTCTTTTCTTTGCAGAAGAAAGTTGTTGGGTTTTTCATTTCATTTTCGACCACTTGCATCGTTCTGTAGCTTGTAACTTGTCTCCATTTGGAAATTAACTTARCTAAACTAAAGATATGATGTTAGATCTAACCAGGTWAAATAAAATACGCTAACATATGTCCCAGTATAGCTTACATTGTTTACCTGCACATTAATAAGATATGGGAACTTGGAGTGCTAGAGACTCCTCCTAGGCTTTCGAAAGCTTGAGTTTAATGTTCCTGGCTATCTTTAATTATGTATTCTGATGGGTACAGGCTTACTTCTGTTAGACAGTTTCCTCTGCTTCTCCGTTACATCAACTAACTTGACTTTGAAATAAGAGAAGCAAAATTACCTTTTGTATTCCCTCAATCTATGCCAGCTTGCATTTTTAAAGCCATGGCAACTGCATAACTTAAGTTCTCAATAAGAAAGCCTAATTATTCTCCATGAGACAATACACTAACTATTTAATTGTTAGGAGCCAAAGTCAGGCTCCAGCTTTGAGTTTTCTAAAAGAAGCAATGAGATTGCTAGCAGGGCAAGCAGAAGGAAAGGACCATTATACCGTATTTGCCATTTGCAGGGCAGGGTCCATCAGACCAAGGATTTCTTCATTGTAACTTGACTCCAGACTAATTATGTCATCAATCACATCATCCATCTGCAGAAGAAAAGGTGGACATGGAAAATAGAGTTATCATGACAATAAAATACAGACTCCTAACAGAGCACTTCAGCCACATACTGCTGCTCAGATGATCTGTGATTTTTTTTAATCATACTCCAAACTATAGTCATAGCTCTATTGTCCAGCAAGGACAGCCTGACTACAAAGAAACCTTGAAGCTTCACGATCTTATAGATTCCACTCATCAGAAGTCACTTTGCACTGAATGGAGGAGGGCACTGCTCCTCCAAGGCAGGCAGTTTGAGTCTACGCTCTTCTCTTGCTTCTGCCTACAGGCTAAGAACCTGCACCCAGACAGACCTGCACCCAGCAGGGCCAGGGCAGAGACATCTGCAGAGTGAAGGCAACAGCACCAAGGACTGCAGGTGAAAGACTTCCCTTCCTCAACAGGGGAATGCAGAGGGTTCATTTCCCCAACATGCCCTGCCAGGAAGCACCATCCAAGAGCAGCCCAGAGATGAGCGGCACAAGCAATGCTGTTCCTGGGCTTTATTAAGAGCCTCTAGAAGCTCCTGCACACTCRGGAGAAATGAAGACCTCCAAATCATCCAGTTACGTGCTCTGAGCTATCCTGTAGGACTGCCTGTTTCTCTTCATTGGCTATAAGTAACTTAACAACAGGAACCAGCAAAGTCCATGCCTGAAGTTGACAGCAGAAATAGCAGTAGAAGGGATTTTCACTTCAGCTCAAGAAAGCAGAAGCCTAGAATAAAATAAATACAGCAAGGGCAAGAAGGGGACTAGCAATTATAGCCCATGCTAAAGACTGTTACTAGGAATAAAAACATTGTTTAAAAAAAAAGATGACAACTGAAGTCAAATTACTGTGGCTGTATTACAGCCTACTCAACTCTGAGTTAAATGCACATGTGATCTCTCTAGAAACTCTACAGAGAAACAGAGAAACTCTAGAGACACCCTGAATACTATTAAAACAACACATACATACAGTCTTCAAAGATGTAGTCATGAGGAAACTATATTATAAAAGATTTCCTGAAAAGGGGATCTTAAAACATGSTTGAGATTATGTTCTACTATCATGTCACAGTTGTGGAAAAGTACTTACCCTTTTCAAATATTTTAATGTACTTTTTTCAATTCAAAAATCAATTTGCAAGGTCATAGCAGATTTATAATTCTTTTTTTTTAATCCGATTTATATTTAACTTTAAAAAGATATTACAGGGTAAGTTTACTGTTTAAGATKATTTCAAAGAAACATTCTTATTAAAAAAAGGGTTCTGTGTCTCAGCTGCTGTGTCATCCAGTACCTGCATGCATGATGCTCGTGAGTGTGTATTCAGAGCCGGGCACTCATTCTCAACCCTGCTTTGCTCCTCAAATTTATAAAATCCCTGCAGAAATAAAGAGGGGAAAAAAAAAGAAAAAAATGCAAAGCATGGATCTGAGTTCATGGCACAGGCTCTGTCCCAAAAAGAGCAGAACTGAAACAGGGTCATGCACACTCATGGCTGATGACACAGCAAAGTGAAGCTGTAAATATCCTCAGAAAAAGCATTTGGGCACAGCTAGGATCAGAAGATGGGACTATTTGATTTTCATTTCTTTTGAAGTCAGCAAGCACCAATAACTTCACATGCATGTATAAAACCCAATCTGTTGCCCAAACTAAGTTTGAGAAAAGTTTCCTTCAGGAGTGCATCTGCTTCTGTATTAAAAAGGGGACATGAAGGCTGGTGGAGYAAGATGAGGAAGCTCTGCAGTCATCTCTAAATTGTCAGGTTGCAAAACGTTAACCTCATGCATCTCACTCTTGTTAATGTCGTTCAAATAACCTCCTCTCTGTACCTGAGCACACATCCTCATAGCATCCAACTATATTTTTGCCGGAAATATCAAGTCAAAACTGCAAAGAACTTCTATGTATAGACTAATGGGGTCTTAATTCATAATACTGGGCTCCTACTAGAAACAGCACTTGGCAACATTTTATGATTTACTAGCTGGGACAATCTGCAGTTCCAGTTAAGCAACAGATTCAGGATTTTACTGTAAAAATGTATAAAAATCTAAAATATCTCAAGAAGTGTTGCACTTTTCAGTTATTTTTGCTATGYTCTTTGCTCTTTATACAGGGAATGAGCCATAAATAACATTATTCCAGAAAGCTACAGCACACAAAACTGCTTTGTGTACTCCAAAGGTCAATTAGTCACTGTGTGCATTGAGCAAGCAATCAAAAAAAAAAGTTTTAATAGGCATACACTAGCTAAAATAGTTCAAAAAAGAGGAAGTTACTGGGACACAAGAGGGTTTTTTTYCCCCTCATTATTCTATGCAAATATAAAATCATCAAGCAATCACAGCGATAAGCAGCTACGCTTTTWAAGTCAAAGGTTCAAAAAAGATAAACTTAACGTGCTAGCAAGCAGCAAATATGGTTGAAAWTTATTAGCAAGAGGAAAACGGAGAAGACAATTGCATTTTCATGAAGAATGGAGAGATTAAGAGCATCTTACCTCTTTTTCACAGTTGGAGTTGAGAGTAAGCATAGCCATCGGGCTGTTGGGTGCACTGCTTCCCGTTCCAGGTGGCATGACATGATCCCCAGGCTGGTTTGGACAGGGCAAGCTCAGGGCTTGGTTGGCATGTTTGTTGGCTAGAGTGGTAGAGAGGTACTGCTTCACCTGCTGCCGCTGCGCTTGCTGAATATGGTACTTGGTTGGGTTCTCAAGGTGAGTCTGCACCTGTAAACACAGCATTTAAAGAGGGTTTTAATTGTTTCATGACATGATTAAAAGTACTAAAAGTACTTTTTATTTTGATAAAAGTATCAGAGGTATACGCTTATGTATATTGAGCATACTAACTAAACATTCACCTCAAAGTACAAATCCAAGACAATGGTGCTTCACCAACTCACACTGGGGCACAAGAAACGATTTTGAGCTAGTGTTTCAATAAACGGCTACATTACAAGACTAGAAAGTTCCACTTTTCTACATTTAGATTTTTTACTTAACACCAATACTCAAGTTTTTAAATTTACACAGATGTTTCCAGCTATTCTCAGACATTAAGCTAGACCAAATTTAATTTTCCCTTAAATAGGGACAGAGAAGCTGTACAACAATACTTTTTTACTTCTTAAACTTCTTTTACTTAATTGCTATCAAAGCCAAATAGCACAGATTGCTATCCTATTGCTATCCAAAACATCACGGGTTTTGATTAAAAGTAACACATCCTTTAAAAAATGAATAGAGCATTTTTGTCTCCAGAGTATTTATACTCTCAATATACGCGGCCTAAATTGCGTACAAGGAAGAGAACCTGTTTAAAAAGGTGCAAATAATAAATGTTTCAGCTCAGACCAAGCAACATAATCACAATTTGCAACTTTCATATTTACAAGAAGCTTTCCAGGACTACTACATTTAAAAAAAATACAAGATATATATATATACACACATACAAAATAATATACAAAATATGAAGAATCTTAATGAATGATTTGCATGTATTTGCCCCCTTCAACCACTGCGTTTTAGCAGAAGTTAGGAAAAATATATGGATATACACACATATATATATATATATATCATAGCATTCTGAGAAGACTGATCTTTTTAAACAGCTTTATTAAAGTGACCCTTGTTGCCGTTACAAGCGACTCCACTTATTTTTCTGGAAAAAAAAAATTAATTAAAACATTCCAGATCCCTTGCAGGTAAAAAAGGWTTTCTAGGGTACCACAAGACTTTCCAGCAAATTAAAAAAAACGCAGTAACAACTCACCTGATAATGATTATAYTCAAGCATTTCCAGCATAATACTTATAAGTTGGGAAAGAAGTGCCTGAAATATCCTTAGCTTTAGCCAATCCCAGTTTGGAGAGGTTCACGTATGGACGCACCATAAACAAGCCACCCCAAAACGGTTGAAGAAATTTGAAGGCCACTGCTGAGCCTTATAGCGACCTAGGCTAATTAGCCACGCATGTAGAGAAACAAACAGTTCACACAGGGGCTCTTCTTGGAAGCTCTGCAAGTTTAGCCCTAAGTATCGGTATTATTTTTTTCCCCCCCTGGCTTTGACGTCATGCTTTTTCATAAACATAAAAGGACCTTTTAAGTGATGGGCTATCAAAGTCAGATTGACAGTTAGCTCAAGGCTAATTCACTATTCATCTTTCGTTCCAGTCATACTAATAGACAATGGTATTTTTCTTCAGCAATAAGGTTAAAAGTTTTTAAAAGTACAGAGTAAGGAATAACTGAGCAAATATCCTGCAAGCCCCTTGCAATGTTCGTCYTTAGGTCTTCGCAGCCTTACCCCTGCCAGCGGGCTGCTAGCACATGAAAACCCTCCTTTCCATCCCAAGGTGCTCAGTTGATTTTGTAACATCTCCGCTGCACAGAGCGGCACCTGTGCAGATTGAAGAGCACTATTCCCATGGAGCTTAATTTGTGATCTGCTGCACTATCACAACAGAGCCCTGCATTGCATTGTGATGTGTTCAAGTATGGCACTTGCTTCGTCAGTCCCAAACGGAGCATCAGCTTCACTGTCACCAGTGGTTAAGAGTCATTCTGCTGCCCCAGTAAACCTATTTTCACTTAAATTTTCATCCTCCAAGTAGATAACAGTTACCAGTAAACAAGCAAGCAGACATTATTTTAAAATAAGTATTACAAAAATAGTTTTAAAAACAAGCCCTATTTATCTGACAGACTTCACACAGGCTGTTTCCCTTCCCAGGCATTAAAGTACCACTTGTGTCCTTCARCCCCGTGAGTTCTTTGGGATTGAGGTGACTTGTCTCTTTTGTCTGCACCCATCACTTATCTGTCCTCCAGCAAAATGCCCAGATCCAGATCTCCATTGATACAAAACTCAATCATTCTACACTTTAAACCAACAMTGGATTAACAAGAGACTCCCTTCCCTATCTGGATTTGCTACTCAAATGCTTCTGGGGTGCACAAGTCCTTGCTTCACCATTGCCGTCAGGCAAGTGACCTTTACCTTCTCTCACACAAGGTCGGGAGAGAAGAACTAAGATTTTTGGTATTAGAGAGGCCCAAATTGGGGAGCAAAGTCTGAAGATTTTTGCAAGCACACTCAACAATACAGATCTAGTACTAGCCAACGTACTAGAAACGTTTGCCAGTTGGCAGTAACATCTGCATACAGAGGCATTGCATGAATCTGATCACAGCAGAACTTGCAAAATACTCAAATATTTATCATCATATTTTATAGATTTATCAATACCCAGAACAGATTTCACTCCAGATGAAGTTTTGAAACSCTTACAGCCTAAGCAACACAGATATTTTGCTGGAATTAAAAAAAAACACCCATCATGAAAAGACACACTTCCCAAGAACTTGTTGCATCACCCTACAACACTACGTTATCTTATTTAACATTCTCTTCTAGCTTATGAAGTGGCTCCACAATAGAATTACTCCATTCTGCTTGTTTTTAAATGGACTGTGTTGCCCCCTGTATACTAGGAAACGCAAGGAAAGAGTCAATCATGAATCTGAKGTAAAACCTCTGAGCCTTCTCAGTCACCAAAGCCAGAAGCATCTTCTGCATCAGATATCAGGGCATTATTTCCTAATTGTGCCATTCAAATAAAATCCTGTCTCCAAGCAAAAAASCTCTTGACAGAACAGTAAAGAGAGCACAGAAATGCCAAGCTCTCTAGCTGATACATATCAGGTCAACCACTTAAGATTTCTTCCCGTCAGGAGCTGGGAAGACATTCAGTTGCCTGTGTGGAAATATTTCTGGAGGAATGTTATCACCATATACTAGATATGCACTGCTTTCCAAGGGCATTTAACTGGACTTGCGAGAGAATGACAAGACACCCATGATCAGGAGGACACACAGAACTGCCTTTTCTGTCTGCAGTCGCTCTGAAATGATGTAAAGGAGAGATTCAGGGACTGACCACTTCCTTTGAATCTGCAGCACATCAAGTACTCTCCMACATTTAAATACCAGAGGACACAAGCTGCCTCCAAAGAGCTCCACAAAGCTGTTGCACCAAGCTGTGTGCATCATTGCAACCAGGGTAGGAGATCCCACAGTGTCAAAACAGTTTGATCACACTTCCCACCTTGGACAGATGTCCAACTTGCCCTGCATGAGCACGAGGCCCAACAGGCTACACAGATGGCATTTAAGAGACATCAGACATACTCTTCATTGTGTCACTTATTGACCCCTTGAGTTGCCTTAGGAACTCTCCTCATTGTTTACATCTGCTTAGGCTACATCTATAAATTTAATGCTTTTTGTTGAGACTCTCTCTGTGTCTTTGATCTCGTGCATCATCTTCTGGAGTCTCTATATCAAATATTTGTCCAACTAAGCACATTTGAACTCTGTTCTGAGATGTGGCCAGGCTATAGATAGGTCAAAAGGCAGCATTACTTTTTGTATGACAAGTAACATAAAATATCYTATGAGCAAAGAGTTGCAAAGCAAACTCTAAAAAAGAAAAGTAACTACCCTGAATCTGAAACTATGAATAAAGGCTTTGACTTCTAATTTTGGTCCTCAGCCCTTTTTTGCCTTTAGGGTGAAGAACAGTTCTTGTTGTTCTTCCAAATTCATGAGATGAGAGGCGCAAGAGCAAGATATTTTCTTGTTTTGGATAAGAAATATCCAYGAACAAAGACATGCAAGAAAAACAGAAGAGTTTTAAACTGATCCTTTGGATCTCTTACTGTCTATCTCCAGAAATGCTAACCCAAGCTTCACTTTAATATTACTGGGCTAAGTAGAACAGTGCTGTTCAGGTTGTTTGGGATTGGCAGGCAAAGAAGAATGGAAGTATTGCCTGGGAGAGCTTTTTTGTTTTGTTTTTCAATAGTATGGGGAGGAAAAAAGTTACACTGCCATAATTTCAACACAGACAAGAGTTTGGCTGCAAGGAACCATAAATTAAGGGTAGTCAGGCACCCAGAAGCCCTGTCCTCAAGACTTCCTCTACTGTTCCTTGCTCTTCCCACACTTTTCATCTCCGTTTTGGGGGCAGATACCGCTCTGTGATGACTCTCACTCCCCCAGGCAAAGGGCAGCTCTCCCGAGCCCTGGCCACCATGGTACCATGGATGCAGGCTCCCATGGGGAGCCAACACAGGACTGGCACCGTGCAAACGCCACATTCAGCCCCAGATGGTCAAAGGAGAGCTATTCATGCAGAGAATCACTAGCCCAAAGTGCATGTCCTGCTTTATTCCTGCTATTTGAACTCACAGGATACAATGCCTGCTTCTTGGAATAAAAGTGATGTGACAAAAACCAGGACATGGACCTCCGGTCTGTGCTAACTCCTCCACACACAGAGCTGGAGACACGTTGTGCCAAGCRGAAACGGGGACAATGGGCAAAGGGCACCTAGGATCTCATCAACTATCCACAGCTTTGTCCCCACTTGCATCCCGAGTGGGGAAGGGACATACTCAAGTTCTCTGCATCACCCCAAAGAAAAAGGTTCTTAAAAACATCATTGAACCTTTCTGGGAAAGTAAAGCCCAACCTCTTAATGCTTCATTTAAGCAGAGACAAGCTTGGGCAACAGGAACACGCCAGAGACAGAGGACAGCTAACCAAACGGAAGGAAGACTTTACCCCCGCTACCCTCTCTCTCTCTCTCTCTTTTTTTTTTCCTTTTGGATTTAAAAAAGGCCATTTGTTCTAAGCAAATTGCCTTAGG